AGAGAGATATTTTATTTACCCTTTCTGCGGCTCGCTCATTCAGCATAAACGTGGCCAAGAGACTGGATTATCTGTGAGAAAGAATTTAAAATCAACTTCCAGAAAAGCAGTTAGACTTTTGACATGTTTTTAAAAACTTACATGTCTCTGTCCCTGTTTAATTCAAATCCAGTTAATTAAACCACTAAGGAGCATAGTGTCTCCCAACTTTAATTAATTCTACTTCTACTGTGGGTGTGGACACATGAGTATCTATGTTTTATGTTTTTATTCTCAAGCTAGATTATATTCTAATGTTTTGGGGTTTTTTAAAGAATATTTAGAAAGAGAGAGAAAATTCCTAGTCTCCTTCCTTTCTTTTTTTTTTTTTTCCTTTGCTTTTGATTTTCTTCCTTCCTTTCCTCTCCCAGTCCTGGTGGCTGCCACGCAGATGGAGAGTGGCATGTCCTGTGTTACGTGGGCTGGGTGGCTAGATCCCATCCTGCAAAAATATCTCAGGAAAATAGAGGGAAAAGCCTAGATCCCTCTTCGTTATGGGTAATCAGGATGATTAACATGATTAGAAAAAAACTCCTCCTTGTGAGAGAGCAAGGTGAGATGAAGGGAGCAGTGGGAAGGGGGAAGAGTGTTAGCTTTTGAGCTAGAAATACTCCAGCGACTCACATTTCCTTTTTTCCTACACATATCAAGGGCAGCAATCCCAATGCACAGTGCAACAAGAGGAACACATTTTATTGAATTTCTGCACGCAGAGGTATCTGTCAATCCAAGTTTAAATCACTTAGTGCTCACCACAAGCTGGGGCAGTCCCAGGTGACATCAAAATTTAGGTTTTCTGCACTGGATTCTGCACTGGGTTGGAGTCTGGTGGGGTTTCCACAGTCAAGAAGCGTCCAATAATCCAACGCTGAACCATTGGGGTAGGTTTGAAGCTTTATGAAGCTTTACCCAATAGCCAGCATTTTTTATGGATGTCCCACATTCAGAGGGAGTTGAACAATGGCTTGTTTCAGTCTTTGGCTGAAATAAGAACTGTTGTAGTGGTTTCTTGGTGGCCATACATGAGCTGTACGTGAGCTATACGCTTCCCGAGCTCCGAGCTCTGTTCCCTTTTGCTGCAGGGTAGAGACTGTGAATGTTTTTTTGCTGCATTTCTTCTTCCCCATAGAATTCTTCACTTCCTGTATTAAAATTTGTTCTTGGCATTGTCTGAAAATAGTTCATCACTGCAAATAATAGTTCTAGCCACCAGAGATGCATAAGTACACTTTGAAGTGAGTGAATCAATAATACAGTTTTGTATTTTTGTTTTGCTGTGTGAATTTATCACCCTTTTCTGTATCTCCATAGAGTGCCTATCAGTAGGATCGCTAAAATTGCCTCCATCCCTGTCCTGCAGCTAAAAAATGTAAGAAACAAATGTATCTATAGAAATGTATATCGGTGAAGAACTAGAGGGATACCATAAAGGAGACTTTTTTTTTCACAGCAATGCAGTAGTCCCCAGACCAAAGTTTGCAGGAAGACTATGGACAGAAGCCCCTGGGCTTACCCCACGGCACCTTTCTGGGTTTTATCTCCTGCTTTTGATTGGTGTAGGTATACCGTGAAAGGGAAGAATCTCTGAGCCATGCTCTAAAAGGTGATCCAGGTGATCTATAAAGGTCTGGAAGTCCTGGAGGAACACAGCCAGGCATGGCACAATAGCACGTCCCAGAGCACAACCTAGCGCAGGAAAAATATATGATTTGTAGGATTTTTAAGAACTACTGATCCTGGGTAGGATCCAAGGTATATTTATGTATTATAAAATGGTAATGGTATTAATTAGATACCGTGTCCCGTATCTTTTTGTTTAATAACATAGGATCTTGTTGAACAGAACCTTGGTACATCATTATGGTGACATGCAAAAGAAGCTCACCCCTCCATTTGCAGCTTTATAAGGTGACAAGAGAAATCCTTAATAAGCCACAAGTAGAATAGCATAAAAAGTGTTTCACACCTGCCCCCCCACTTCCCACACCTTGTTGGCAGCCCAGCAGTGTATTGAATTTAACACACATTTACCTGCGGTGAGCCGGTATTTTCAGAGGATCAATGCTTGGCAGTAGGACTGTACTACAGTTCATTGTAAAACTACCATGTGAGTGGGTTCAGCCTTTGAAGTGATTTTTCCAAGGTACTATAGCAAGAAGGAGAGAATCCAGGCATCCTGGCTTCTCTGTAAGCAACCTGAAAGGCACACCCTTTGCAAATAAGAGGGTTAATGTCAGTTGTCATTCCTTGTGGTTATTTATTGCTGACAGCAGCATCGTAATTCTGCCTGGTAAGGTAATGCTAATTCCAGACTTTACAAAAATGATGGCAAAGAGAGAGGGATTTCAGGAAATATTTAAATAAATGAAGTACCTGGCACAATGGAGACTGGCAGCTCTATCTAGAGCACTTCATTTTCTTTTTTTTTTTTTCCCAGATTTGTCTTGCATTTATTTCTCTGGTCCTTCTCTTTATTTCAGCAGTGCCTGATACAGGGACGGTGTGTGAGCGTGCCTTAATATTGAACGGTTTATGCTTGTTGTTAGTTATACATCATTTAGGGCTGTGATCATAAATTGTTCAATCACAAGGTTTAGTCAAAGCTCGCATTCTTTACTGATGTCTTTTCCCAAGGGTGTTGAAAATTCGATTGTTCAAAGTGCAAATATGGTTTAGCAATCCCTTCCAAGAACCATTTATCAGAAATCCTAAGGAGGTAATATATAAAAGTGGGATAGGAAACCTGCACTTTAAATGGGATTTACCAGCCAAAGCCTTTGGAACTGCTTTCCTGTGAATGACTGGAATGGAGCAGAACAAAGTCAATTACTGACTGTAATTAAGGAGTGGATGCATTTAAACTGTAGAGAGCAGTAGCAGTCTTCTTGAAACTGTCTAGTTACTCTGAAGATTAGTCTGAGGAAAGAAAGAAAAGGACTTGAGCTATATCTTACAGAAAGTATATTTTAAATGAATTTTCTTCCTTCCATTCTATGATCTGTTTTTACAGATTTGCTCATAAAACACCGATAATATATGATTATCAAAATAACACATTCAGACAAAGAAACTTTCAACATGTATTTTGCTTTGGTCTTGTTAGCAATGGAGTATCTCTTTTGCATATCATACAGTGCAAATGTTTATGCAGTGCTGAATACTTGTATTTTAATAAAGCCTGAATTTACTGAACAGAAGACTGAACTACGTTGTGTCCTTTCTAAGCCTTCAAAATACAGTAAATCTAATTATATATGTTGCTCTTACTTTGAAAATGTTATTCTATTTTATAATTTTAATAATGATTTGTTTATGCTGGGACAGAGGCATTAGATTGAATTGTTGCCTGTGTTTAGTCTAATTCATGTCTGCATGTATACATTAATAAATTGTGATATAATGTAATGCATTTCGAACCCAAACTTTACTGCGTTAGCCAGGCACCGAACTGGAGGGTCAGCTCTTTCAACTGCTCACCTTAAGTTGAAGTTTGACTTTTGTTTTTTTTAATTTTGATAAAGGGAACGGTGAGTGTGTGAGTAGTGATTAACATTATGGCTGTGGACTAATAAGGGAATTAAAATTTCCCCAATAACTAACTCTCCCATGCACGCGGGGAACAATGGGGTGGCTGGAGGTCCGCTCCTGACGGGTGCGGATGGGACGGGATGAACATCTGCAGCCGGGCAGCCTCCCGAGCCCGCGCCGGGGGACCATTCCCACATTCTCCGCAGTGCTCTCACAGGATGTCTCCGCTGGAGCTGCGCTGACGGGATATTCCTTAATACTGATGACTTTGGAAACCTTCCTTACAGGCATTTCCTCAATAACGGGAGAGTTATAGAACAATTAATAAAACATTAAGCTGTTTTTTCTGGGTTGTTTTGGTTTTTTTCTTTTTTTTTTTTTTCCCCTGGTTATATTTCAGTTTTAAGAAAGATGCGGGGAGTACCCGGGCTGGTGGGGATCTGTTGTTTCTTTTATGCTTTAGTAAAAACTCTTGACATGGGGCAGATGCAGTGAAACAGTAGCACTCTGGGTTGATGGATTTACATAAATAGGCTGTGCCAGGTCTTAACGGCTTCGCTCTGCTTTTCCGCACGCTTTGGTCAAAGAGAAATCTCTGTTGTTCACTGTGTTCCCTGAGAAAGACCCGAAAAGGTTTTGCTCTTTACCCCAAAGAGAATCCCAATGTGCAGACTAAACCTGCATCCCCAAAACTCTGAAACCTGAGTGTGCAATGCCCACATGCGGATGCTACTGAATTTTGCATAAGCAACTCTTAGCAAAAAAAGAAAAAGAGAAAAAAAAAAAAAGAAAAAAAGGTTTGGTTTCAGAGGTGACAGGAGCTGAACTGGTTTGGAGCATGGGCAGGATGAGCTCCTGCCCCTTGCAAAACGTGATGGAGATGTAACCCTCTGTTCACTTGTCTGCAAATGCGCAGAACTGCTGTGCTCTGGGTGGTCCTCCGTGGCCACATGCACCAGGGATCCGACGAATAATCCTGGGGCAAAGTACTGCACAGCTTTGTGCCTCAGTTTTGTCATCTGTAAAATGGACGTTTCGACCTGCTGGGTAAAATACCTGGAGATCTGTTCAGGTGAAAAGATATATATGTAAAAAAACCCGTGATGTATCATTATTATCACAGTGGTTTATGGAAGTTCAGACCAACAGAATATTCATACATATTTCTACCAAATATTGTTAGTCAGTGAAACAGCATTATCAGGGGAATGAATATTCTTTTGATAAATATTCCCAGTGAGTGGGTCAAAAATGTAAATTGACTTCTATTCAGACAAACTGGGGATTTTTTTTCATGATAAATGGGCTCCTAATTACTCTGCTACAGCCATCTTTGATACTATTTTTTTTTTTAATGTAAAAACGAGTGACATTATTAATTTTGGAAATGGACTCTGGAATCACAGGTATGTAATAAATGTGTAAATTTGAGAATGGAGGTACCAGATATAAAAATAATAATACCAAAATAGAAATGGAAAATAACAGGAATTGGTTCTCATATTGCATTAATTTCTTTCCAGGGTGCTTTGATTTACATTTGAACTGTGTCTTGTAGCACCGAGTTTCCTGGCTTTTCTTAACTTTTGTCACATTCCCGTTATTTTTGCACTATTTGTGTTCGATGGTTGCATTGCTGAGACAATATCTCGTTTGTTGTGACATATTCAAAGCAGTTTTGAGACAGAGGTTCAAAACTCCTCAGTAACTCAGCACTCCAGGAGATAATTCTTGGTACAGAGGAAAAGCATTTGGGTGCGTAGGAGAGAAAATAGAAGAAAATGATCTGTCGGTGTGTGCTTTACTTACCTGTGTGTGCCCATGCCCTCCCCAGATCACGACAGTGTCAGGAAATGAGTTCCTCCTCCAGTCGGATATCGACTTTCTCATATTGGATTGGTTCCACGCTATCAAAAATGCAATTGACAGATTGGTATGTATTTGTTTTGGCTGTTACCTTTATTAATTAAGATGTAGCAATTTCAACTTCATTTGCTTAGGCATCTCCACAGGTTTTAGGCAGTCAGCAGCTAGCTAGACATTCCTTTCTCTGAAGGATATAAAAATATGTATGCAAATCTACTAAAAAATGTCAGATAAACAAGGTTGTTGAACAAAAATGTCATTTGATTCTTGCCTCGAAACGGAACGCTACATTTATTTCCCTGAAATAACAAGGATGTTGGTTTGCTGAGGGTTGTAAAAGCACACAAGCACTTAATAACTAATGAATTTTTGTGTTTTCTGTTTATGCAGCCTACAGTATATAATCTTCAATAGAACTATTAATACATTTGAGCCTTTTATGATTTTTTGTATTACTTATTCACAAGAATAACACTAGCAAATAATATTCCTTTGTAACTGATTGCTGTTATTCTCCCAGGAAGGCTGGGGGTTTTCTACTAGAAGTAAGCAGGGCTGCATTTTATTAAAACAGTTTTTAATTACCAAACCAGATTCAGCTGTAGCTTTTTCTTTCTTTTTTGCCACACTCAGTACAAATTCCAAATGTCTTCCTCCTATCCCTGCCTGATCCGAGAACATGTTTTTTTAGAGGGCACTGACTTTCCTTGTTCACTGCAGAATCCGGAGAGAGAAAAATATCCCCATTTCTTGCATTTTTTCAGAGGTTTTGCTGCAACGGAATTGGCAGAGCGGGCAGAGGCAGCCTCTTTGAAAGGGTTAATCTGAACACGGCTACTGTTTCCTTAAAGAGCTACAAACATTATATTACCCTGAGGCTATAATCAGCCAAGGAAAGTTTGATCTGATGATGTATGTCTTCATATTGCGCGTTTCATTGGGTGTGTGAGGATATTGATATCCTACTGAAGATTTTGGGGTGGAGTTTTCCGTGGAGAGTCAGAATACTTTTTTTTTTTTTTTTTGCATGTTATTCAGCTAAACATCTAATAGACTTGGGTTTTATTTGTTGTTTTTTTTTTTTAGTGCAACTAAGGTAATATTGTGGCTTCAGCAGCTCTGAGCGTGCAGCGAACCACAGCAGCAGTGTCTGGTGGGGCACCGCTTGTAAAGGGTTGAGGTACCGGAGGGCAGGGCTTGGCCCGGCGAAGGTTTGCCTTTGCCGTGTGCGCAGGACAGGATGCCGCCACGAAGCACTCAGTGACCATTTTATACATGTCATTTATTTCAGTTTTCAAACTTTGAGTGAGTGTGTAAAGCCTTGCAGTTTTCCAGGCTGTTGGGATGGCTAAATCTCACCTGACCAAATGCCATGGGAAGAGATGTGTGATTAGCCAAAATATCATCTCCTTTTTTTCTTTTCTTTTTTTCCTTATTTTCTCTGTTAATGGTCCCTAATTGTCACTTTGTATGCCAGTGAATTAGAGCAATAGAAAAGTCCCCCCCCTTTCCTAACCTTAGACCAGCAGAATTCAACCCCAAATTCGTAAGGATGCTTGAAACAATTGTGTTTGCAAGAATATGTACTGTAACTATCTAAAGCAGAAAGGCAATTTAAACAAACTTCTTCTTTGCAATCATTTGGAAGTAGCCTGCAATGTGGAAATAATTTTGGTCTCTAAAGCCTAAAGAAGTAGGTCTTTTGTTTTCCTCACTTAAATGGGAATTTATCTCAGAAATTAAGATCAGTTTGTCAGGGCCATAAAAGCTCTGCCATATGACAAATTTTGCATTACGCTTTCCTTAAATTATATACTCACTGCATCACTTGCTACATGTGTGTCTGTTAGCTTCTGAGGCTGTACTGGCGTTCTGTAATCTCTTGCTTCATTCTCACAAATAATGATTTTATTAAAAGCATACACATATATATACATATATATTCTTTTCCCAGCCAAAAGAACGGAGCTGTACATCGAGAAATTTGGAGTTCAAACTCAGAAGATCCTCCAGCATCGAATTACTGAATAGCTTAGACACTGAATCCAAAGAACCAAAGCCTGAACACAGAAAATCTTTAAGTAAGGCTTTTTTCTTTTCTGATTTTTTTTTCTTTTTTTTTCTTTCCGTTTTAAATAACTATGCCATTACAGGGTAAGATAATTTTTATTACATACAGAATGTAAGGAAGATCACTGAGAATTTTAAAGCTGAATGTGTTCTGTGCTGATATACATAACTTGCATTTAAGTAAAGACAGTTACTAGCTCCACACTTTTAAAGGGTGACATTCTCTCCTAAGCAAAATAAATTTGTTTAGCAGCAAAGACATTTATTCAAGCCATTTATTGTTAAAAATAAGCAACATGAGTCCTATGCTAATGGTCTGTTGCAGTTGCTTTGTTTCCATTTTAGTAAAATACCTCAAATTGCTAGAGTAATTTTGTCTGTTGTATATTTATACACTGAATTGCTGAAAGACCTGACATATCCTCTGTAGCTGACAATCAGCGATATATCTATAATTTTATAGAAGGTAAATTCCAGGGATCGAGGTTGATTTTTGTCAGTATGATTAGAAAAGAAAGTGATCTAAAACTAGCAGGGATGTGCTTTTTTCCACTGAGGCTTTCCTTTTCCAGTTTGTGCCGAGATGCTCATGATACTGTGGGCAGTAGAGGCAGGAGCTGGTGCTGACCATGAATCACTCACTCAGCATTTTTTTTAATTTCACCCTCTCGCTTGAATTTTTGTTTTTCTTCTTTGTTTGGCAGGAGATTCACATCCTGCTTCTAACGTAAGCGCCGTGACAGCTTTAGACTCGCGTGCTGGTGCGAGATACCTATAGGTACCGAAGTGCTGTGCAGGAATTTGCCTGCACGCGTTTCAGTGCAGGATCAAAGCCTTGGATGTTAAGAAAACAGTTGCATTAAAAAGACCCAACATAGCTATTTTTAATGATAATTATCCACACAATCATAAATATATGCACACATGCGTGCGCGCGTATGCACACAAATACAGAGTTCATTAAATAGTCTCTTTTTGCAGACCAAAGCTTTTTGTTGTTGTTGTTTTCCTATTATCTTGGAGATTTGGTTTTCTTCAAGGTTTTTCTTTCTGTTCTAAAATATAAAGTAGCCTGAACGTAGCTTGTGAAAAATTGTCCCAATATCTTTGTACTGTGTGTTACGTTGCATTTCTCAGAGGAAGAAAAATAAGACTGAGAGCACGGTAAGTTTTGAGGGCCTGATTCTGCTCTTATTTATTGTAGCTAATAGCAAAATGCCCATAAACTGTCTCAGCACTCGGGGAATTTTTATTTATTTATTTAGACTTCTCACATATCTTTAAATGATAATTTGTCAGACAAAACAGAAAAAGTGAATATGAGCAGTGACAGAGACTTAGTCTACGTTTCTTTCCAAACCTTAGAGAATCCTGAATAACCCCCGTTTAGTTAAAGGCTATTTAAACTATTAAAAAATGTGAAAATATCTGCTGTGAAATCTCACTGAATCGAAGCTCGCATTTAAATACTGTAGATTGGATTGCTTCTAAAATATGTATTCAGAACTTTTCTTTGGCCCCTTGAGATCAAGCAATTATGTGGAATTAGAAAAATCATATTATTCACTTACTTATTAGTAGTCTAAGCACAAACTGTATTGTCAGTTTTCTGCCTTTGGCTTTCTGTGCCCTTAATGTTCACACAAGTATCGTAGCCAGAATTATCGGCAGCTAGAGCCAAAATTGCTTTAAAAAGGCATGAGAACGGGTAATGACACATTGTTAGCAGTTAACAGGTGGTCGTTTCATTGTCCAGTTTGACTGCAGAGCACAGAGAAGAGATGTGCAATATCTGCAAGTGTGTTTCTAAAGTTCTTACAAAGTTTAACAATTTTAGAATTTTATAGCGCTCTTGCATTATTGACTGCTGCCAATGCCAAATCCAAACAAAGGAGATTTTTTAAAGATGGCTTAACACTCCTCCAATTTAACATTGAAGATGAGCAACTGATATGTTAGCAGGCCACCACCCCCCTGAAAATCTTTAATGAAATATTGAGACAGTTCAGACTCTCTACATTTTAAGGGCTGCAAAAAATGTCCAGTTTTAGCCTTGGTACTGCTGTATCATTGGGGCTTTTTAGCAGCACAAGTGTATAAAGGACAGGTATATTCTAACCGAAGTATTCCAGTAATTTACTCTTTAATTTAAAACTGGGGAGACTGACCCTAGAGACTTAGTAGCAGGAATTGGGTTTTTATGTTTAATCCTAATTGCTTCTGCTTACACTACAAGGACAAATGGTAATTCTCTGTTATGCTTTTTGAGCTGTAGACACTGATTTCATTGAAAATTGGGTTCAAACTGCCAGGCTCAATTTCCAGAGTTCACAGAGTGTCCGTCTTCTTGGTCACGCAGCTTTTCAGTGGCTTCTCATCCAGTCTGGATTCAACTCATGTTCTAATTGAAGTTTTCTTGAGCTAAGAAGAAACCAGGGATGGCCTTGGGGAACATTACCAAAATATGTAAAACCATGATCCTGCTCTCAAATACATGGAAAGAGATTACTCTTTATTTTACCATGCCAACTATTTCACTGATTTAATTTATGCAGCTAATGCTGGGTCAGAAGGAACACGTTTTTCACCCTAGCAACCTCCCCCATTAGAAGATGTATACATTTGGTGCAAGGAAACTGCTTTGGAGCACTGCTCCTTTTTATGCAAGTGAGTGTTGTTCTAAACCGATAATTTTTAAAATTAGTGGCAGACTTCATAATTTCCAAGTAATTTTGTTATCATTCAGACTGTAGGTTTTTGTTTTTTTCTCCTAAGGTTGCCAAAAAACTAATTAGTACCAATTATAATTGGGTCTGCTGGTAGGTGGTCTGCCACGTTTATTTTATACCACTTGAAACCAGGCACCTGGGTTAGACTGAAAGTAGAGATGCTGCCGCGGTGCATGGGAGGTAGGAAAAGGATCTGTGCATTGCAAGGTTTCCAGAAATCATTCCACTCTGCAAAAACCAAGAGACCTTACTGTGTGTATGGACTACAGGGGCTGTCAGGACAGTCATGTTGTGGCCAATAAAACCAACTCCACGCTCTCCGCTAAGCTCAGCTTTTCTTTTTCTGCCCATGGTCGCTTTGTGGTTTGCATTTTGGCCATCACCTGGGAATTTTGTCACTCAGGAGTGACCTCTTGTGGAAGAGCCTGGGCTGGAGTCGCTATCGATTGTCAGAGGGGATCAATTCCCCTTCTACTCCCCCTTTTCTGGATGGAAACAAACGGCTTCGCAGTAGGAAGAGTGCCCTTTGGCTACCGTATCAATCTGAGGGCTGCTCTTGTCAAAATGCACAATCACAAGCTTGATAATGCAATCCATTCCCAAAGCACTATATTTCCAACCTGTTCTCCATCATTTCCTTATGGCGTCACATTTACTCAGTTCATCACATTCTTATTAATATTTTAGGTTTCCTTGAAAGTGATGGAATTCTATTTTTATTACAAAAGCAACAAGAATAAATACTAATTGTTGTCAGTTATTTCCTTATGTAGTGGGAACAGTAATCTGTTCCTCAGCTTTAGGTTGCCAAAGCAAAATAATTAAATATTTTAGACATTTAAAAAATCTGTGATATTAGATAAATGCAATTTGATCTCCTTGTTTGCCACATAAAAGCTGGAACTGCCTGAATTGATAAGATTGAATCGCATTATTTTTATTGTTTCTACTCGCATATTTTTCTTATCTTCAAGAACACTTTACTTAAAACCCAGTGTTTAGTCATGCAGCCCTGCAACGACGAATCCTGGAAAATCTCCTCCATATTTGAATTCTGGCTTGAGGTGCCACAACCAGAGGATCAGCATTTAAAAAAAAAAAAAAAAAGATAATTTTATATATATGTGTGAAAAGCAAAGTCTTGATGGGCTGTGCAGTATTATTGCTATTCACGATCACTTCAGTGTCTCAATAAGAGTAGTTGGGGATCCGGGTGTCATTGTGCCAGACACAATGCGACACCGAAGTAAGACAATTCCAGCTCTCAGCCTGAATAAAGGACAAGTTACAACAGGTGGAAAAAGCGGACAAAAGCAGGGGGTGGAAGGAAAAGTTGACAGCAAAGCTGACATGTCATGCATATTAAACAGCAGGCTTGGGATTCCTTTCTGCTCTTCGTTAGGATCGGGGTCTTAGCCCCAGCACCCTGGCCGCCGGCCAACTCAAATAACGATATTTTCCTTACCTAAATGCCTCTTGCACTTTCAACAGGGAGCGATGGGTCTTTTTAGTCCCAAAGGGCGACGCATTGCTCTGGGATGCCACAGCCCTCGCACGCTTCCCCGGGGAACGGCTGCAGGGCAGTGTCGGGGAATATGCCTCCTAGCATCGTTTTAATCAAGAAAAAAAATAATAACCTCTGGATCATAATTTTGATTTGCCTTCAGAGGTATTTGCTACAAAGTCATCAGGGCTCTGAAATCTGCTTTGCTTTCTTAAAAGACACAATTTAATTCAGGCCAGCCCGTCCCTAGTATCTAACCAAGGGCTGCGTGGGCTTTAAAATCACCCAAAGTTGCTTTTCCCGTTTCATTCACTTTTCTTTACTTTACAAGGCTGAATTTTGACACTCGAAGCATGGCATGTAAATATTCCTAACTAATTACTAAAACATCCAGAATCATTTCTGAATGCAGTTTGTTAGCTAATTAAGACTGTACAATGTGTGGGGGGGGTGGGAAACGGCAGCAAAACCCCGTTTTGGTCTCTCAGTGGACGTGATGGAAGAACTGGAGAAGTCAGTGGAGCTTTAACCCTTTCTAGCCCTGCATGGTTCTTGCTCCTTCCCTGGCTAAAGCTTCTTCTGAGGGCTTGCTTGAGGATTTAAAGTTTGTCCCCGCACATGACTGGATATTTCTGTGGCAAACACCGCCTTGCTGAGGCTATTGTTTCTCTGCAGAGGGAAGGGATGGTTACCAGGGCACAAACACACGTATCTGCACGGCTTCAGCTGGGTTATAGTAGGAGGAAAAAAATGCCAGAAAATTATTTTGTGGAAAACA